GGGAGCGGGGGGGGGAGCGGGCAGAGAGGGAAGGCGGGTACCTGGCCGGCGGGGGATGGCATCGCAGCTCCGTCCCCCGGGCATGGGCATGCGCCTCCCGGCATAGGGTTTTCCTCACATCCCGGGGCGCGGGCCTCCGGGCGACGAGTCGGATGGAGAGAATGGGATGGGATGGAGGTGCCTGTCGGGTGGCGCTTCGGTTCATTCCCTCCCAGGCGCCGTCACCGGACCGGCCCATAGGTTGGCGTGTGGACTGGAGATGATTTTTAAGTCAGCCGTTGCTTTTCGTGAACGGGTCTGGTCTGGTCCTTCCTCTCTTGTCGCCGAGGGGAAAAGGAGATCTTGGGCTGCTGCCTCGGGCGCGCCTTGTTAGGAGACGAGTCCGCGCAGGACGCTAATGCCCGCGTCAGGGCGCTTAGCATCGGGCGGAGCGCGATCCTCGCTAGCTCGGCGGCGCCGCGGCGCTGACTTTCCCCGCTATCCTGATTTTTAGCCCCCTGCGGCGCCCGATTTCTGGCTGTGCAGCGGGGAAGCCAAAGGCTGCCTGATCCTTCTCCCATTTGCCAGCGCCTTGGGGTGCGCTCCGGACGGGCACCCTCGCGGTGCTAGGGATGGCGGGTGCAGGGGAAACGCAAGAGCGATGCGCCTTGAACGGGAGCCCGAGTTTCTCTGCTTTCTCGTTGTTGTTGTTGATGTTGCTGCCTGCCTCCAGGTTGCTTCCTACGGATGACAACCCTTTGAATCAATCGTCGTTTTCAAATTAACCATTCCCAGCGGGTCGGATCAGGAACAACTCTGATCAGGCTGTATTTTCCAAGCTGTTTTCCCGACTAAATATGAGCGGGGTGATTTCCAGTGGAAGTAGCCGGCAGAGCTTGGGCTTTCGCAGAAAACTTTCAGCAGGTGCCAGAGGAACGATTTCCAGGCGGAAGGAAGAAAGACACCGATCCTTTCTCCGGGACAGGAGTTATTAGAGCAATTCAGCTGCATGTGGCAGAAACGGCTTGCAGTGGGCAAAGTCCCTTTCCCCATTAAAAGAAAGCCTTTTTTTCTATAAGAGACACATTTTAGAGCTTTTCCTGGTATGGAATTTGAATAGGAGAGTTTTCACAGATGGTGTATTTATTTGTTTATCTCATTGCAATCTGCAGCTCCATATTATGTCATAACTAAATTGTATATTTGACTTAAAAGTGCTTCTCTTTTGTGCTTTGCATGGCAAGCATAGAGAGCTATCTCCCTCTTGCTCTGTTCCTTAGCTCCCCTAGATACACCTGTCAGATACAGTTTGTCAAACGACACAGTGCTTTATTAGATAGAGTCTGTCTAATCTATCTGATAGACCCTTGGTCTGATCTAACTTAGGTTGTTAATGCAGGATAGAAAGCAGAAGAGAACTCCTGTAAAATTAAATGCACATTCTGTTTAAGGTAGATTTTAGTATAGCAGTATAAACCATTTTGGGTTGTTTTGAAATACGTACACAGCTTATTAGTGTTGTGATGAAAAGATCCTAAAGATGCATTTTGTCTTCCCTATATCTGTACTAGAAACATAAAGCATACATTGATTGGATCTGTTCTCTTCCTGCATTGGCACATTCATGGATTTCATGAGAGAAGGTCAAAGTGCTTAATCAAGTGTGAAAACAGAATTCGGTTTTCTACTTCGTACTGTGTACATTGACAAGTGACCTGTTCCAATAAAAAAAATAATGAGACAATTATACTTAGGAAAATGTGCAATATATTTTTGTTGATAAAGTATGTTGGCCTCCTAACATTTGATGAGGGACAAGAGACACATGTAAATCCACAGTCCTGAATGGCTTTGACAGGAAGCCCCAAAGAACACAATAGGATTTATTACTGAAACATGGGGTTGGTCTTATAATTGACCTCTTCAGGTAATTATATAAGGTATCTTCAGGGTAATTTTTCTCATGCATGTATTGCGCACAGTTGATTATCATTTGCATCTTTTCTCAGCACAGGACTGATTGTCAATACAGTGGGGTCTTGACTTGAGAACTTAATCCGTATTGGAAGGCGGTTCTCAAGTCAAAAAGTCTGTAAGTCAAGTCTCCATTGACCTACAGTGCATTGAAAACCGATTAATCCCGTAACAGGCCATTTTTGTTCCATTTTGGTTTTTTTCTGGTCTGTAAGTCAAATCTCAGTCTGCAAGTCAAACCTAAATTTTGCGGCCAGAGAAGTCTGTAACTCAAAAAGTCTGTAAGTCAAGCCGTCTGTAAGTCAAGGGTCCACTGTACTTTAATCTTGAAACAAAAGCTAGAACTCATGGAACTGAACTGAACAGGTATACCCCAGCCTTTCATATTTTTCCCTCTGTCTGTGTGTGTGTGTGTTTGTGTGTTTGTGTGTGTGTGTGTGTGTGTGAGAGAGAGAGAGAGAGATTACACCAAGAAAAGTGGTAATTAACCTATACACACACAAATGATAAGATGCACATTGATGGATCAGGCAAAAGCCTTATCTGGCCCAGCATTCTGTTTCCTGCAGTGGCCAATCAGATATGGAGAGAGCACAAGCACAACATGAGAACAAGAGCATTTTTCCTACTATTCATGCCTAGAAAATGATATTCAGATGTATCCCAGAGCTAGTGTACAACCACTGTATCTAATAATCTTTCATAAGAATAATGTGTTGCACCATCCCTGTGCTACACCATCAACCCTCAGTATGGACAGAAGATGCCGTATTAAGTAGCATTAGAGGTCCTAGCATTGACTTCCACACTGAAATTACACCAGACATAATTGTTTCAGCCCTTTATTTTTTCCCCTTTTTTTCCTGCCTGTCACAGGATGTTAGTATGATGGTTAGTGATTGCACTGTTGTGCCTGGTTGTTTTAGATGTGTTTTGATGTTGATTTTGTTTATCATTTTTAGTGTGGCATTTGTTTGATCCTTTAAAAATATTTGTCTACTTAGTTTTTTAAAGCTTTTGAATGGAGTGTTGTCTTTTAACAAGCTAAGCCACCTTGGCTCTTCTTTAAGGAGAAAGGCATGGTAAAACTATCATAAATAAATAAATAAATAGAATGAAAGAATGAATAGAATAGAATAGAATAGGTGGCAACTTTTTTTTTACTTCCATGAGTTTTTCTTGGGTATGATGGGAGATAATTATTATCTTCAGAGAAACCTTTCATGTTTTTCTGAAGTTTTCATGCGTGGTTACAAACCCATGGTTCAGAGACTGTGTTTCTGATATGGTATTGTTGGTCCACTCTGAGACCACTGATATGCCATGTGGTGGGTTATAAATAAATTCAATGCAATTGTGTTTATTTGTGGACAATTGTTTGTGCAGAGTATGTCATGAAAAATAACAGATTATAGACCAGTCACTTTTCATCATATAATGTCAAATGCAATGTGTGAATGAACCCTCCCTTATGCATATGTTGGCAAACCTGAGCAATTGATTATGCTGAGAGTCTCCTAAATAATTAATTCAAACCAAAAATGACTTATAGAGAAAGCCATAATAGTCTTCTGAATTTAATGTAAATGTGGTTAAACGAAAACTCCTGTACACCAATTACATCAGAGAAAGAGTTACCCTTCTTTCTCAAAAACTTTCACGGCCGGGAACATGGACTGAGTTCCTACTCCAGTCCTCTGAAGATGCCGGCCACAGAGATTGGCAAAACGTCAGGAAGACCTTCAGAAAATGGCCAAAGAGCCCGAAAAACCCACACCAACCATCAGTTACCCTTCTTCTTTGTTAGTGTAATGTTCATCCAGTCCTCTACTTCTTCAGCCTGGAATGGATTAAGTGTGTGGAGGAGGGAAGAGGCAGCTCTGAAAAATACAAATGGAGTAAAAATGACAGGCACTCTCTCCATGCGCATGGTCACCATGCTCTCTAACCACAATCTGGAACAGAAACAACACTCCCACACCCACCCAGACACAGGGAGTACATCCACACAGCCTGCATAGGTATGTTGCTATGACCCACAGCACACATAGAGGATTGCAGCCAGCCCAGTAACCCCAGCCAACAAGACACAATTCACAAAGGGGCACACAAGTAGAAAAACAAGTTTGCAAGCTCGGTTCCCTCCAGGAGGCAACAACTCCTACCCAGCACATGCAGAAAAAGAAACAAAACGTATAATTGGTTCAAATCTCAGGAGAACCCTTTTGTTCACCTACACATCTTGCCATCCCACCCTGTTGCTCTGCTGCTGTCTGGATCTATGCTGCCCAGGCCATCCCACTCTGAATATCCTTTCAGTAACTCCCTTGGCTCCACCCCACAACGCCCTGTTGCTCTGCTGCTGGTGTTGTCTGGATCTATGCTGCCCATGCCATCCCACTCTGAATATCCTATCAGTAACTCCCTTGGCTCCACCCCACAACCCAGATCACAACAGAGCCATGCAGCTTTCCTGCATGACAGCAAGCAAGATCCAACACTGTTGTGAAGACTTCAAGCTGCATCTGTTGCATAAGGCAGTAGCTTCTGGTCTGTGATGATTGGGCTGTTGCAGGGATCCTTCTTCAGGACACAGCCTCTCCACATGGCCAGGATCTGCACACCTTGCTGTCCTACTGAGAGATGAGCATGAAAAGCTGGTTTAGCAATTCGGTGCAGCAGTTCGTTTCCCAGCCGAATAGCTGATCTGAGGTTTGGCACCCCTCCCCTCTCCAGGAGGCATGCATTCAGTGGCAGTGCCCCATCCCACCTTCTCCTGGTGCTGCCTCCTAGTGGGCATCCACTGGAGGGGCCAGGATGCCGAACTGCGAGTCAGCTGTTCGGTCTGAAAATGGGCAGTGCCAAACTGCTGAACCAGTGGTTTGTGCCCATTTCCATTGCTACCCCCGTCCCCCAAAACTATTGGTTCTGCCTGAATTCAATACCAAATAATAACTGAGCGTCAATTAGAAATTGCTGTAAAAAAGACACTAATTTATGACAGCAGAGTACTTGAAAGTGTAGGATTTTCTTCCACTTCAAAAAGCATTTAATGCTAGGAGTGGAGTTTCTTACTACTGATAGCAAGATGTAGATAAATGCACAATCATCAGAGCTCTTTTGGAAACATATTTTTGCAGGAGCAAAGTAAAATTCACATTGCAACATCATTTTTGTCACTCTGATTACATGTGCAAAAGGATAGGTAAAACAAGCACATGAACTGGTCTGCATAAAATGATGATTTTGACAGTGTCTTCGGAATGAATGAATTATGTGTCCTGTTCCTTTTTGTGACCGTGACAAGACAAAGGCACAGTAAATATTCATTCCAGTTACATTCTGAGAATAAAAAAAAAGCATGAGCTTCTCAATGCTGCCCTGGAAACCTGAATTATGAGACAAGAAAGTAATGGCTGTTTTAATAAATGAAATGGTAATACTTTCTCTTATTCTTCTTAAACAGGAGGCTTCCTTGTTCTAGCTTTTGAACACTCAAACAACTGCATAACAGCTGAGAACAATTGTGTGGCTGACTCTGCCTGCAATGCATCCTATCAGATTCTGCAAAACTGTTCCCAATCGTTTGCTAAGAGCAGTTTCTTCCTTCTGCACCATGAAGCCAGGGACAGGTGCCTAGAGGCAGAAAAGTTTATTCAAACCAGTTATTTTAAGGATTGCAAATGTCACAGGCGCACACGAAAGCAGGAAGAGCAGTGCCTACGCATCTACTGGACTGTTCATTCTGCTTCAACACAAGGTGAGATAGGAGAATGGGTCACTCCTCATTTTGTAGTTCCATTTGCCGAGGTTTGAAATTTTGTGTGTATAGAGCAGTCATTCTCTATGGGGGCCATCTGCCACATTTAAAGAGGGGGCAGAGCTTCATCTTTTTGTGTTGTATCCTTGTTTGCACACAGCCAAAGTCTTTCCTTACAGTATTTGACAGGAATCCAAGAAGAGATCCTAAAAGATTTGTGGCCAAAAGAAGGTAGAAAATGGCTGTTATAGAGTGTTACAATTATTAAAGTTGTGTGTGTAGAAAAAGTAGCTGTGATAATGAAAGTGCTTTTAAAAATGAGGCATGAATAATAGTTTACTATGGTCATTTCAAAACAATTAGTCAGCTGTAGAATGTTGCAAACCACTGTTGTATACTCATTGTTTCCAGCTTTAAATATTTAAGTTATGTCCTTGAAGACCTTGAGTCCTTTTTAAGGAGAAAGGTGGAACAGAAATGTTTTTAATTAATTAATTAATTTGTTAATTTGTAAATATGGAGGTGGAGTTTGCAGGTCTTATATGCACTCTTTGTAGTTTCAGTATCTTGGAATTACAAGGTTCTGTTGTGATGATATTCTGGGATTCCAGATTTCTTTGTTATTACAGACTCTAAACTTTTTAGTCAGAACAATGATGTTGTTGCCATAGTGGAAGCCTGCCAGATATTAAGTTACAAAACTGGAGTTACAGTAGTACAACAACAATTAAGATTCCTGTCCAAAAAAATGTTTTGGAACTGTAGACCATCAGAGAAAGAGATTTTTTACAGATTGGAGGGAGATGTGAACATCTAAAAGAATTATAAATATAGAGAGATAAGCCACACACAGGCATTCAGGAATTCAACTCATCAAGGCAAGACAAGGCAACACTCCATGTAATGCTGCTCACACCAGATACCAATAACAATCATGTAGCAATGTAGAAGCAACAACAGTCAACATTGATTTCCCTCCATAAATTCAAATTGGCCTGGCTGTGTGAGCATGTAAGAGTAATTTGTGTGAATTTTTTATATGCTTTTAAAGGCTAGGAAATGCTTTTTACTTTATATATTCTTATTTTTAACAACTTTTAAAAGTTGTATTCTCAATTTTTTGATTCTGCCATTTTAGCTTATAAGCGCTTACATTTTTAGAATGCAATTGAAATGTTATTTTTTACTCTTAAAATATGTTTTGCTGTATCTTGGATTGAATTCTGACCTAAGTAGTTGCCTGTAATTTAGCTTTAGTTTTTGTATCTATTTTATGCCTACAGTTTTTCATACCTTTAAGACTTTTGCATTTTTACAACAACAATCAATTATTTCTGTGCTTATGGAACCGAGATGCCATGTAGATGAGTAAAGCTTGTAGAAATAGACAAGTTGATGTTGCCTGGAATCAGTGAAACCATGAAAAGACTTAAACCTTGATACTCAGATCAATTTTGATGTGGTTGTCAATTATTGTTTGGTTTCATTCAAGAATTAATCCAATTTTTTTGGGGGGGGGATAAATGCCAGCTGTGACAAACACAAGCTTCTGATTTTTCCCAAGAGATCTATAAAGTTCTGTAGGGCTCTTGGGGGCATGTTCAGGTATCAGACCCCCTGACATGACACATTAGTAGAGGGAGGAAGAGAAGAGTACCTGAAATCCTAGGAGAAGAACAGCCTTGGACCTGACAGCAAACTCCAAAAGTATTGTCTCCTTCAGGGGTTTGCAAAGTTTGGTCCTCCAGATATTTTTTGGTCTTCAGCTCCTAGAGTTCTCAATTGTAGCTAATGCAATGGTAAGTGCTGCTCACGCAGAATTTGCCAGAGAAGACACCTATCTTTTGAAATATTTAAATATTTAATTATGATTCAGAAGTTAACCCTTCTGGAAGTCTTTCCTTTGACAGTGATATTACTTAGGAATACTTTGACACTAAGCTTAACATCAGCAGAGCAGATATAAAATTGAAGTTCTGGTATCAGAAGAAAGAAAAAAAGAGATTGCTAACAGAACTCCGCCCCTCTTGCCCTAAGGTATTGTGGACTGCAGCCCATTTCATCAGTTGCATCTTTATTGTTTGTGCAGTAGATTAACATAATTATCCTCTCAGAAGAAGGAAGTAATCCTTACATTCACAATAAGGTTATTAGTATTGGCATCCCTGGGAAGAAGTCAGAGGTTAACTTCAGGCAAGTAAATGCAGTGGGGAAAAAACAAAATTAAATAACGGCAGGGGGACAGACAACACTAACAAGATCACCCCATTGACTCTAGTTGAGGATGTTTATTAGAAGGAAAGATAACAAATGGTTCTTTAAAAGCTGTCCTCTTGTTTTGAGTAACTGGAAATATTAGATGACAAAAGCAGAGAGGAAATTATGGGGTTTTTATGTGTTTGTTTTTGCACAGCTGACTTTCATTTGGAGGTGTCTCCATATGAGGATGTAGTAGATGAAGAACCTTCAAAGACCAGATACAAACACCTGGAAACCCAGCTCTCAGGTACAGCCGACATATGGCATATTTGGCTTCCTTTCTTTTATTTTGGAGCTATGAATGAGGGTAAATTTCTGCAGGAAGAAGGAAAGGTTTTGCAGGCAACAGAACTTTTAAAGGTTACTTAAAAGAATGAGGATTAGAATGACTAGAAGAATAGATAAAGGTCTGAGTCTCAGCAGGGGAGACATGGTCCTCTGATCTGTGTTGCCCATGGATGAAGACAATGACCTTGTAAATGAAATAGGACAACATAATTAAATGGGTGGGACTAGAACATGATACAGTGGTGCCTCGCTAGACAGTTAACTCGCATGACAGTTTTTTCGCTAGACATTGGCTTTTTGCTATCGCTATAGCGATTCGCAAAACAGTGATTCCTATGGGGGAATTTCGCTGGACAATGTTTGGTCCCTGCTTCACAAACCGATTTTCGCTAGACGACGATTTTGACAGCTCCCTCCGCGCTCGCAAACAGATGTTTTCGGGACCTAAGCTTTGCAAGACAGCGATTTAAACAGCTGATCAGTGGTTCGCAAAGCGGCTTTCCTATGGCCGATCTGCGCTAAACGACGATTCTTCCCCATTGGAACGCATTAAACAGGGTTCAGTGCATTCCAATGGGGAAATGCTTTTCACTAGACAATGATTTCGCTCAACAGCGATTTCAGTGGAACGGATTATCATCGTCTAGTGAGGCACCACTGTATATGGGAAGGTGTAACAGGCAATCATTGACCAAGCTGAACAGTTTACAATTTTTTTAAATACAACTACAGAAACAATTTAAAATACAATGAATTATAATATGGAAAACAGCAAAACACATTGATTTAAACATACTAGACAGAAAGCCAGTAAAACTGTTTAAAGATAAATTTAAAACAGAAAAAGAACTTCATTAAATCCCCTTTCTTTGCAGCAATGTACTTATTAAAAGCCTACTTATAGAAGGACAAAGGGTGGGGAGCAACCTGGTTTCTCAAGGGAGGGTATTCCACCTCCTGGGAGCAACCATTGCAAAGGCCTTCTCTTTTTTTCTGCACCAAGTCTGCCTGTAAAGGCAGCAGGATGGAGAAAAAAAAGCTTCTTCCAAAGATGTTAAAACCCTAGGTTGCATCCACCAGTCTACAAAAGCTGTCACTTGTGTAATCTAGATTTTTGTTGCCTAGCTTGATGACAAAGCTGCAAAAGATCAAAGAAACTTTACTGATTTTGCTTTCTTCTAGATACTCCAAAAAATATTACATGGGGGATGGTATTTCAAATATTTTTCTTGATTTCATTATTTCATTATTTCATTATTTATTTAGCTAGTAAGGCTCTCAAGTGACAGAATACATTGATGACCCAAGAAGCCTGCTATGTAAAAATACAACCCAAGGTAGATGACAAAAGAAGGGAGGTAGAGGAGAAATGCCAGAAAATGGCTCTCTAAACCGGGGACTGATGCTAGAGATTACTTAACTGTTTTCTCTGAGAACTTAATTCTCTCTGGGAAACTCTTTCTGGAATTCACTATATTCTCCTTGCATTTCTGTGGCTTTTTAGGTTCACGTGTCTTTGTGGACACCACAAATCCCTGCCTGCAAGCTGTCAATGTTTGCCAGCTGAACCACAAGTGCATGCGCCTGCGCTCCAATTACGCCCAGATCTGCAGTGCAGGGCAGCCCTGTGATCAACGCAAATGCCACCGTAATCTGAGGCACTTCTTTGAGAGAGTCAGCATGGATTTCATCAGGCCGCTCCTCTTCTGCCCTTGCCAGGATGAGATTTGTGGGGAGCGACGCTGGAACACTATCGTCCCAGAGTGCTCTTTCCAGAGCACCAGCAAACCCAACTGTCTTGTCCTGCTGGACTCCTGCCTGAAGGACAATATCTGCAAGTAAGTAGGCCTGGGCACCAACAGCCCCTTGGGATGACCACGGCAGTCTGCTTGATGGCAGTGGTGGCTGGTGACCTCAACATCAGGGGCACTTGAATTTTAGCGTGTACTTTGTGGACGCTATCTAAGGTGCTGAATTCTGTTCCCGGGGTAGGTTCAGCACCTTGGATTCCCATACTGTAACTCATCCTGTAACCCCACAGCTGATTCCCAGCATCTCCCAGCCACCACTGTTTTATAGCACATGGGATCCTAACATGTGACATGCATTTGATGAAATAAGAAAAGCAAATACAGTGTTACATTGTGCAGAAAAGTTCCTAACTATTTATACAGTGCTGGGCTGCATAAAAACTGGAGTCTGTGGATTTTTAAAATAGCATATCAGCTAGCTTAAGAATGGGCAACTTGTACATAACTGGGAGCTATGTTATTCTCTCAGCCTTTTGTCAGCTTCATTATAAGGAGGCAGTAAGGACTCCAGCATCTGGAGTACATGTATTCAATACATACATTTACACTATCACATAAAGCATGTTCAAGAGAGGCAGTAACAAAGTTCAGGAAAGCTGTGCATTAAGCACATTTTTAGTAGGACCAGCAACAGAGAAAACCACGCCTTAATGGGCCACATCCAGACCTTGGGCCTTCAAGTTGCCCATATGAGACAAGAGATTACTTTAGGGTTATGTGCTCCTATTTTGCTTAACTCTGTATAGGAAGCCACTTTGGTTTATCATGTTAAATGCAGGACAGATTAACCATTAAACACAGGACAAGGTGCTCTGAGTAGTGAAGGAGACTCTTATTCTGATTACGGTTGTCTTTCACTAGATCTCGACTGGCTGACTTCCAAAAACAATGCAAACCTTCAAGCACATCCTCAGATGGCTGTTCTCTGAAGCACAGTCATGCTGCATGTCTGGAGGCTTACATGGGGATGATTGGTATGTGCACTGGGTGAAAAGAAATGCATTGAGACTGGGTGTAGGCTATGTCATTAGTCCAGGGGTGAGAGCAAAAGCAAGCTGCCATAGACTTTGTTGTATGGTGGCTTTTGAGGTCTAGCTCTTCCTAAACTCTTTGCTCTCACTTTGGTGCTATTGGGAGCTTTCTTTCTGAACAGGATTCTAGACAGAACTAGGTCTAGCTAGGCTTCAGAGCCTTCTGTTTTATACCTTTCTCCAAGGTGAACAAAATTTTGATTTCAGTAAGGTATCTCTGTCAAATTAAATTTAGAATGGAGAATTAGAATAGTGAAGTTGGAAGGGGCCTATAAGGCCATCGAGTCCAACCCCCTGCTCAGTACAGGAATACAGACCAAAGGATATCTGCCAGGTGGTTGTCTAAATTTGCCATGAATGTCTCCAATGTTGGAGCACTCACCACCTCTCAAGGTAATTGGTTCCATTGCCCTACTGCTTCTAACAGTTAGGAAGTTTCTCCTGATATTCAACTGAAATCTGGCTTCCTATAACTTGAGCTCATTGTTGCATCTCTTGCACTCTGGGATGATCCAGAACAGATCCTGACCCCCCCCCCTTAATGACAACCTTTTAAATAAATGAAGAGTGCTATCATCTCCTCTCAGTCTTCTTTTCTCAAGGCTAAATAAGTCCAGTTTTTTCAGTCTTTCTTTATATGGATTGGTTTCCATCCCGCTAATAATCCTTGTTGCCCTTCTCTGAATTTGTTCCAATTTGTCAGCATCCTTCTTGAAGTGTGGTGTCCAGAAATGGACACAGTACTCAAAAGGAGGCCTAACCAGTGCCAAATAGATGGAGACTAGTACCTCATGGGATTTGGAGATTATACTTCTGTTCATGCAGTTAAAATAGTATTTGCCTTTTCTTTTTGTAGCAAAAAAGATGGGAGTTGTAGTCCAAAAAAATCCCCAAATCCCATCTCTAGAAATGGGGAAATGAAAAGAGAAACATTTTCAGGTTTTTTCTTCTTCCACGAGGCACAGAAACTCATGCTTAACTTCAATGAAGGCTGAGATTCTCAGAACATGGTATTCTGTGCCAGATGGCAGACCTGAGTTTACAGAAATTACACCTAATTTGGTAGTTATGTCTCTAATCTCCTTGGATTTGGGATTCTTCAAGAACAAATTCTGACTCTGGCCTTTTGAAATTTGAATTAGGTACAGCCATGACCCCAAATTACATCAGCAATTCCAGTGATGAGGTCACACTCTGGTGTTCCTGCACAAAGAGTGGCAATCAGAAGGAGGACTGTGATCAAATTCTTGAGTCATTTGCTAACAACAGATGTCTCAGTAAGTATACATGGACATACAATGCTGCTTTATCCTAACTGATAGAGGTTTGATCCATCAAGCCAGACTTTTCCCTCCCTCCTATAATATCATGTCTATATTAATTAAACATATGTTCCATATATCTACAAAAATTTAGTTTTCTGTTGTAAACTTCCTTAATTCATCTATTGGAAAGAAACTGATAACTAGATATATAAGGGGAGGATTGAACCGAGACATAATCCAAGCCATGGAGGGTTCAGGGAAGGTCCGCTCTGTTCCCAGGCAAAATCCCAGGGATGAAGGCCCCCATGCCTTCAAAACTGGACCTCTCTGGGGGCTGAAAATAAGTACGTAGCAGTCAAAGAGGACAGATGGAGAATGACTCTGGCACTGGGTTGCTCAACCCAGCTGTGCTTGACAAGTTGTGGAGCCTATGTTATGTGAACAAGGTACACATGCCCTGGAGGCGTGGTTGTTAGGCAAATCAGGGAACAACCACATAGCCTCACACCACCAGAACTAGGTACTCTCCTGGCCCAAGAGAGTAGAGCATCAACTCCTTAATCCTGCTGATAAAGAGAAAATTAAATCAGAGGCCAGTTACACCTGTGTCCAAGACTTCTCTTTTTTGTCTGTCATTGTCTGCCTCTCATATGATATGCTCTAATACTGTATTAAGATTTAAACATTTTATGACAGTAAAAGTTTCCAGGTGACATCAAATAAGGAGCTAAATCTGTTAATTTAAATATTTAATAGCTCACCTTTGGCTTCGTTTATTGGAGATGCGTATTAAGATGTGGTCACTGCTTCCACCAACCCATGGAGAACGCTGTAAACACCAGCTTCTCTGTGTTTCCAACACATTACATGAAGGGAAAACTTCCCTATCCCCGGATAAATTCTGATGCTCAGGCATAGCGGTAGATAGCATTGGAACCAGAGTGTTGTTCACCAGAAGTAAACTGCAATAAATGAACTGCAAAAATGCTCCAGAAGCAGATAGGGTGACCAGCTATAAAACAGAACAAGGCCCCTGCATCTATATAATCACAGCTGCATAGACGTAACTTATCAATGAAGCGATAACTGCTGAAATATCATCTTCTACACAATGGTTAAGGTAGGTATAGAAAGCCTGCCCTCTTTTGCATCTGACCACCCTGTCTGTAGAAGACATCACAAATATCATGTAAATTACACATCCAAATTCTCATGTGAAACACCTGATTCTCTTTGTCACACAATTCTGTCACAGACCAGTGAAGACCATATTTATTTTATTGCTTATTCCTTTTCTCCCTATGTTTCCTCTTAGGCAATGATTCAGCCTTGGCTAACCCAGATGTTATTGGACTACAAATCCCAAAAATCCTCAGCTAGTACAGCTGGTGGTGAAAGCTTCTGGGAATTCTAGTCTAAGAACACCTGGGTTAGCCAAGGCTGGGAACCACTGCTCTAAGGAACTACAGTTAAGGCAACAAACATACATTATTCAGAGATCAGTAATAATCAATAGAACCTAGAAAAAACTGAGCAAGACGGTTAAAATATCATCCTAATCAACTGATGAAAAGCAGTGCAATACTCAGTAATAAATTTTTAGAAGCCATTGTGAAGAGTTGCTCCTTCAAACCATATCTAAAAGCAGTGAGAGTTGAAACTGATCACAACCTCATGAGGAGTGCATTGCCAAACCTGGGAGCAACAGAGAAGAAAGCATTCTCCCACCCACATGCTTGTTCATCCAGCTTCTGACAGTGTCATTACAGTAGGACCATGATATCTGTGGAGGGATTCGTTCCAAGCTCCGCCTCCCCATGGATGCAAAAAAAGAGAGAAAAGAAAAGTATTTGAATTATCAAATGCTGTACATTGCATGGTTTTTGACTCCCTCCAGCGGCCAGTTCTGGTAGCTATACTCTGGAAATACATTTATATACATATTTCTGGAGGGTTTTGTTTAGCATTTTCAGGCAGCAGGTAAGTGAGTCAATGCATGCTGATCCTATAGATAGAGGGGTCCTCCCAAGAACACTGTTTGTAACCCAGAGGCCCAGAACAGGTCTCCCCATGGCCGAGGAATTGAACCCTGATGGCATATATAGTTCCAGATCCTCACATAATCTCCTATATATTCTCTACATTACAGGAAGTGCAATTCAGTCACAGATGCGCCTGAACCAGGTGACAAGGGTGCTGAATGAAAAAGTGCCAAGAGTGCTGCAGCTCACACCTTCCCTAGACATCCAGGCAGATGGCACCAGCACCAGCACAGTTTTCAGTGCAAAAATGTCTCAGGTATGAATCTCTTGAGCCCATTTGATATACCGCAACTGGCCTCTTCACTTCTAACATAAGTGGAGATGAAGGTCTTGCATGTATATGAAAATTATTGGTTTGCATAATAAGGTTATTAGTTCTGTTTTGAGAGAAGATTGAACATAAGGATGGAAAAGAAATTTGCCTTAACCAAGAGTTTTTTACAAATGAATCCAGTATCCAGTTTGTGGAACTATAAATGAGGATGATCGAATCTTTAAGGTTCCTGTCCTCAGGAGAAAACTGACATTCTCTTTCCTCTCCCCCCACCCATCAAATTACATACCAGCAAGCAGGCATAATTAAATGTGTATAACTGAAAAATGTGCACAATAATAAATGTCATGGGTTAAGAAATACATGTGTACCAAAATGTAATTCATTTATATGAAAAAAACAAAAAAAAACTTTGCAACCCAGTGCAGAATTTGGATGGGAGAAAAACAGTGATGGAATTTTGAGAAAGGTACAGAAGTGGAAACTGAGTGAAGCTGAATTGAAGCAAGGAAGTGATCACCTAAGGGAAGTCTCCAGATCCTTATGTAGAAAAAGCTGTGAAAAAGCAGATGCCGTATAACTGTGGGAAGGCATTTTACATGCACCCAACAATGAACTGAATTCTCAGCCTCTCTCTCTCTTTCTCCCTCCCTCTCTCTCTCTCCCTCTCTCTGCCTTTTTAGCAACCTGGGGAAAATAAAAAGTTGGTGGAGCATCAGAAAGCATTTCCTAATCCTATAGATTCTGGAGCATGGCTTTCTGCACCCCTGTTGACCTTGATGGTTCTCCTTCTGTTACTCGGCTAATGTAATGAAATCGGCATTGATTCTTTCATGTACTTCCATGAAGAGGGATATCTTTTTCATGCCAGAGAGGAAGCATGGACCACAGCTGGCCTCTCCTTGATGTGCACCCTTCTGCCAGAACTCTTGACATTTTCAGTCACTCTTCTAGGCTTGTGGGCTGATTCTTTTCCTGTCGTCCACAAGGGGAAATAAAAAAGCAACAGGCAGATTTGTGGGACTGCTTTTGATAACTGAAATGTTTTCAGTGTGTTCCAAGATGTTTTGGTGTCAGTGCAAGATGAAGGACAGGAATCTGATGCACCTCATTATCCACTGGTATTCAGAACCATGATGTTGTATACTTGTCAATTTCTTTAATCATACAAAACAAAGCTGTCTTGAATTTAGTGATGCTGGATGGTAGCTTCAGCTCTTCATACCTTTCTGCCCAACCTACCTTCCTCTATTACTGCTTATAAGAAGTATAATCCATCTGGCCTGGTTGGGCTTCCATGTTTATCTCCTTGTCCAATGTTGTGCAGACCCTTCAGGCTGTCATAAGATGGTGCGTACAAGCGTACTGAGGGTTTATGTGTCACAATTCCCTGAAGGGACATCAGACTTTGAATGTTGTGAACCATAGAGGCAAGCCCTTAGCTGTGTGGGATAACCTGGGATCACTTTCTAGGCTTCTCTGTGCTTTTTGTAACACTAAACATTTATCTGTGGTCTAATAATTCTGGATGTTAAGATTTCTGTGGTGTTCTCCTATGGTACAATTAATAGTATGTTAAATACTAGAGAGACAGGTCAATACTTTGTGCCCTTTACATGAGACCATTACCTTGTTGCCTCAGTTTAGACTTGACTGCTTTCTGGAAGAGGCAGCAAGTCAGCCTCAGCAACTCTGCTTTGTCCAGTGTCTATGGAATGTGTGGTCAGTATTGCAATCCATTCATTTCTTGTCTTCAGACCAGATAATGTTTTGGTGGCCTGAGTTCAGTTGGCATTCATTATCTAGAATGACTAGGCCGCCTCCCATCAGGCATAGCCAGCAGAGTTAATGGTCAGACACAATAGGAATTGTAGTCAAGGAGTGCCACAGGCGAGGAAATTATCTGCAGGAACGTTTCCAGGCATTGCAGATGAAGCTCCATTGTGATAAATTAGCGTAAGTTATGTACATAGCGTGCAACACTATGACACAGTGGGCCCATCTAGATTAAAATGATTAATTAATTTGGGGGCTTTGTTTTATTTGGCTTTTTTTGGAGGGAAGCGGACCATCCCCTTTGCAGACAGTCACGGCCGCAGGTTTCCTGCCTGTACTCTGCCGCTTTCAGTAACGGACACCTGTTCCTTGTTACTCCTGCCCAGTGAAAGGGCCTCTGTACTGCTCACTAGTACAGAGAGAAACCTTGCCTTATTTTTGTGCGCATTTACTGTACATCCAGTATCAAATCATGATATCTGATTCGCCTAAGCCTGGTGACCCATTCTGCAGTCACTATAGTTTATCATTATCCCAGTTCTTTAATGACGACGATGATTAAAGGGCTGGCATTCAGCCTTTAAGTGTCTGTCCGTAGCTATCGTGACTGTACAAATAAATATGGAAGCATGGCTTTAAAAACAAAAGAATTTAAATGCGAAGAACATTAGAACTGTTACAGGACAGGTTGTGTTTATTTTTCTAACAATTGGGGGATGGCAATACAATTTTGGCAAGATGTGGATCACACTGGTCCAAGGCATTTGAAGTCTTTTATGAATCCAAGCTTGGGAATGAGCAGAAACAGGCTGAGGACCCCCTTGGCAACGGAAGTGGGTTGCAGCTGTCCCCAGGTGAGGGACTGGGAGACCATGGAAAGATCTTCATTTGCAGGTAAGTGTATTGACAAATTCCTTTTCTTGAAATTAATAATGACAACATTGTTTTCTATATTTGCTTCATTGTTAGATCAGGCTTAATTTTTTTTGCACAACACCTGCAGTGGCTGTGCCCAAAACGGATTCACAAGTGATACAGATACATCAACGTAGCAATTTTCAGTTACAAAAATAAACCTTTGAAATTGTCATGAATTAAGAATTATGCTTAGTGCATGATTTTATTTATTTTAATTTATTTATTACATTTATATCCTGCCTTTCCACTAGAAAATAGTATTCAAGGTGGCTTACAATTTTAAGAGCACATTCCAGCTCATGGCAGGCCTATTACTCTTAGGCAGAGTGTAGGGTCCCAAGAGAGCTTTGTCTTCCTCTCCTTCCCCAGTTAGGATGTAGAAAGTGCCCATCATCCTCTCTCCGGTTTCTTTCTTTCCCCATCACAAATGTATTCTCCTTCAGATCACAAGCCGTTTGCACCATGGAAGATGAAGGATGGGGAAGCATGCAGAGGGCTTCACCACCTTCTTTCCAACAGCCTCTAGCACTATTTATCCACATTTGTGTAGGAATGGACAGGGCAAAACTGTGCAGTGTACCTATAGTGGACTGCATCATATTCCAATCCCAAACCTCAATTCTCTTTATTTTTAGTATATTCCACTAGAATTGTGTTTCCATTATCTGTCATTTAAGTGCTGAGCTCTGCTGACTTTCCAATGTGGCATAATTTCATACTACCCACATGGTTACAATAGTTGTTGTATTGGGTACGTTGACCATTCCTCCTGTGCCTCTACTGAAAAAGAAAGACCAGGGCAATAGAAATCCTTAAAATGTTATCAAGAGTCTTCAGTATAGAATCTAGGTCTCTTAGCAAACATAACAGCAGTGGGAACATTCAGAGCTGCTGTAATGTAAATTCCAATATCTTCAAAATGTGATTCAGTCCATAATATCCAAAATAAAGTTTACCATCACAACACTGGGAGTCGTCTTCCTTTTCATTCAGCAAGAGAAGCATTGAATGTCAACACGTAGGCAGCCTCACAAAAAGTATAAAAATGAATTTAAGCCAGACAGATCTGTCTCTTCTTTCCTTGCAGTCTGTATTGTTAGAATTTAGTTGCATTTATATTACTAGACAGAGGAAACATTGTCCCTCAGATGCTCTTTATAGGTCAGGCGAGAAGAACTTCCACACCAGTCTTTCCATCACCCTGTCTCTTGGGCCTTGTCCTCTTGGAATAAAATGGGGAGAGCAGTCAATCATTGAAAACAATAGCAGGGGTCCTAGCTTCCCTACAATGGAAAAGAAAGGAATGAATGAATGAATGAATGAATGAATGAATGAATGAATGAATGAATGAATAAACAAACAAACAAACAAACAAACAAACAAACAAACAATAAGAGGTTCCCAGAGTTTTTCTCTACTCTCCGACTTCTCTGAGGGCTCAACCATACTATATATTAGAGTTAGCTGATTATTATAAAAGCAGTTACTAAAATAATATAAACATCTGATCTGTCACAGTAGAGGTTCTTCCTTTGCTAGTCAGCTTACTTTTTGTGATGAGTCACTGGGAGGTAAGCACACTCTTTCTCTACACATATGCTAGTTTGGTGTTGGAAGTCTACCTGATTTCATGACTTTCAAATTTAAATGGACTTCTGCTTCTAATTATAGGCTACCTTTAATGTTTGACTCCCAGTTAGGGAAGGCACCAGGACAAATGAAGCTTCTCCCAACAGAACTAAATTTGCTCAAGGAATGCTCCTTCATCTGTGTTTGTTGCAATCAGGGCTTTGTGCACATCATATTTTCCTCAGCTGGGTGAGGTACAGTGTGGGTTACCTTAAGAACATTAAGAAGAGCCCTCTTGGATCAGGCCAAGGGCCCATCTAGTTCAGCTTCCTGTATCTCACAGTGCCCCCACCAGATGCATCTGGGAGCACATGAGACAATGAGATACTTCTCTCCTGATGCCCCTCCCCTGCATTTGGCATTTTTGAGTTACCATCCTTTTAAGACTGGAAATTATACATCCCCATCATGGCTTGTAACCTGCGATGGACTTTTCCTCCAGGAATCTGTCCAATCCCCTTTTAAAGGCATCTAGGCCAGATGCCATCGCCACATCCTGTGGCAAGGAGTTCCACAGACTAACAACACGCTGGGTAAATAAATATTTTCTTTTGTCTGTTCTCACTCTCCCAACACTCAATTTGAATGGATGTCCCATGGTTTTGGTTTTGCGTGAGGGAAAAGAGCTTCCCTCGATCCACTTGATGCATGCCCTGCATCATTTAATATATCTCAATCATTTCCCCCCTTAGGCATCTTTTCTCTAAAGAACCTCAAGCACTGTTGCCTTTCCTCATAAGGGAGGTGCCGCAGCCCAGTCATCATTTTAGTCGCCCTTTTCTGCACCTTTTCCAGTTCCAATATGTCTTTTTGAAGTGCGGCAGCCAGAACTGTACGCAATACTCCAGGTGTGGCCTTACCATTGTTTTGTATAATGGCATTATAATGTTAACTATTTTATTTTCAATTCCCCCTTTTAACAGAATTGGCCTTCTTCACTGCCGCTGCACACTGGGTTGACACTTTCCTTAAGCTGTCCATGAGCACAAGATCTCTTTCCTGATCCATCATGGACATCTCAGAACCCATTAGCCGATAAAGTTTTGATTTTTTTGCCCCAATGTGCATTAATTTTACATGCATTTGCCATTTTGCTGCCCATTTTCCCAGTTTGGAGAGATCTTTCTGGAGCTCTTCACAATCCCTTCTGGTCTTTACCCCCCAGAAAAGTTTTGTATCATCCGCAAACTTGGCGACCTCACTGCTTATCGCTGTCTCCAGGTCATCTATGAACAGGTTGAAAAGCACCCGTCCCAGGACAGATCCGTGGGGCAGACCGCTCTTCACCTCTTTCCATTGTGAAAATTGCCCATTGACACCTACTCTCTGTTTCCTGGTTCGCAACCAATTCTCTGGACCTGCCCTCTTATCCCCGGACTGTGGAGTTTTCCCAGTAGTCTTTGGTGAGGGACCGCATCAAATGCCTTCTGAATATCCACTGGTTCGCCTGCATCCACGTGCCTGCTGACCTTTTCAAAGAATTCTAAAAGGTTTGTGAGGCAAGACTTAACCTTACAGAAGCCATGCTGATTTTTCCCTCAGCAAGACTTGTTCTTCTTGTTTTGATCAGACCAGCTCAGGAACCAGTGATATCAGGGATTCATGTATCCATATCCCCTAACTCACTGGTTCTTAACCTTTGGTTACTCAGGAGTTTTGGACTGCAACTTCCAGAAGCCTTCACCACCAGCTGTTCTGACTGGGGTTTCTGGGAGTTGCAGTTCAAAAGCATCCGAGTAACAAAGGTTAAGAACCACTGCTCTAACTGGTGGGGAAAATGTGGAGGATAAAAATGTACAGAAGGAAGAATATAACATTCCTGATACAACTAGTACATAATTTCAGCTCTTATAACTAGCTAAAATTTAGATCACTCTGCTATCATGATCGATTTATAAAATATAGGATTTTCATCTGCCACCTGCGATCCATAGAAATTGACTATTGATAGATTTTTCTACCCATTCTACAGGTCTTAGAAGTCACTTAATTGGCAGATGAACCTTGGTGGTGGTTCGGTGCTCTTGGTTCTGGGGCAATTTCTCATTATAGTTTTTTATTTTCCTTTTTTTGATCTACTGACATTGACCATGATGGTTGTTGGATTCTGGGAATTGTATCCCAAAATGAAGTTTCCCAGGTTTTGGATGAAATCTTAGCCCAACCGATGGGAAAAGGAGATAATGCAGGGAGCCTCCAATGTTATATCTCTCATGGTGTCTTTCAAGATTCTCTTTGGTGCTCCATGCTGTTCCATATCCACAATAAACCCAAAGAAGGCTCTGAAGATTTAGAGATGTCTTCATTGTGCAGGTGACAAGCATCTCTAATTGTCGTGCAATCCAGATATGACAAAGGATGTCCTGAACATATACTAGGATCCAGTAATGGAATGAAGGAGGGTTACGATAAACTAAAGCTAAAGCCAGATACGATGGAAGCATTGCTGTTCAGCAATTCCTACAACAGACACTCATCTTGTTCTGGACGAGATCCTTCTTGAGGCGAGTGCTCTAAAGTCTTTTCTTGGATGCTACGTGGCATCAGGCATGCAAAGTCTACCAGCTGCCTCTCCACTTGGAGGGAATGTTAGTGCAACATTTTGTATTTTGGTAAAATCCAAACTGAAACATTGAGGTACATCTAGGTTTGCCTGTGAAACTTCTGCTGGTTTAATCAAGTGGCTAATAAAATGAGCGTATTGAACTGATACTAAAAGACTCTGGTCTGACTGGTAGAACTGAAAGGGCTTGTTTCAATCTCTGATGTCAGGAGATCTGAGGACTAGGGTAGCCGAAAGATCATGTCTTCTCCCTTGTGAAGTTGCTTGTTTTCCAGAATCCTTGCTGAAAGTCCTGCTTCTTTCTAATGGCTATAGGTGTTTTCCTGGCGCTAATTCTGTGATCCTTCAGGCGCCGGGTTAAAACCACCTTATTGGTCTGAGCGGTTAATTGATGAGCACTTACTACTTTTTTATTGCTCTTTTTTGTTGTTTGCCTACTGTTGCTTGTTTTTTTCTTTCTTCCATTTAAAGTGTGTGATTGATTATTGTTAATTGTAAGCTACCCTGGTGACTTGAAAAATGGAAAGACAAAATGGAAATGCTTAAATAAACAAACAAATGAGTGCTGTGAATATTGATATTTCTATTCCCATAAAAGGCAAGGGGGAGAATCCATTTTCCTTTCTCAGAATGATCCTATCCAGCATGTTTTTGTTAACTTTGGATCAGTGGAAGTGACTATCAAGAGCACTGAGGATCCATTCGCCTAAATCAGTGTGATAGTAGTCGACATGTAATGGCACAGACACCTCCTCAGTCTTCAATGAGTGCTGCTGAAACACAAGAGGCATGACACAGTGACAGAGGCAGGAAAGGCGCTGCTACAAATCCCCAGGTCTACTCTGGCCCCAGTAATATCACCCACACCATTGGGAGCTCCTTTGCATGTTCACTTGCTGATGTGAACTTGACATTCTGGTCCAGGAATGCCGCTTTTACACTCTACACAGGGCAGACAAGACAGTGTCTACAGAACAGAAGAAACAGACACAATGTGACCTCAGAAATAACAGTGCACAAAAGCCAGTATCAGAATTCTTCAACTTCCCAAGGCAGGTGCAGAGCTGAAAGTGACAATTGCGTGTGTGTGTGGGGGGGAGAACCACATAGGACAGACACCAGAAACAGATTTCATCGGTAAAAGTGGCTAAAAGCTTTAAAAAGTCCAAGGATTCTTAGCCGTATGTATTATATATTATATAAATTTATTAATAATCAATTATATTTTGTGCATAGACAAAGTTATTGATTATAGCCACAGAATCAGAAGTTGATTTGGAAAAAAAAAATAGGAATCATTTCCCTGGCTGCACATTTTTGCACCTCAAAGAGAGCCAAAGCCAAATGGCTAATTCATCTAGCTATGTCAGAATGTTTATGTCATTTATTCTCTCAAATTTCCTTATTGATATTGATACTGCGATTGTTGCTTTGAAATTGCATTTTGTGTAGCTATATCCATTTTACTAGGGCCCCCATCTTCACAGCATACACTTGTAAATAAACCTATGGCTAAATATCTCATTTCATGTGTCTGAGGAAGTGAACTCTAATCTATGAAAGCTCACCTTGAAATAAATCTGTTAATCTTTAAGATTCCACAATGTACTTATGTTTTTATTTCTGTTTCTGTTTTACATGCTAAAACTGACTAACATGGGTACCTCTTTAAAAAGTGGATGTACAGTATAGAAGTTATTCCTCACAGGCAGTGATCGTACCCATATTATTCACATTGGAACAGATATACACGTATTTCTGTTATGTTCTTCACACTGATAATGGTGCATGTGAAGATTTCTCAAGTTTGAAGCACAACCAACACCTCATGAAACCAATTTGTCCAGAAACTTTAATGGGACATTCAAAAACAAATATATGTAGGAGGGCCAAACAGTATCTTAGAACTTAACTGTATTGCTTCTATGTACAGTATATCACAGAAGTGAGTACAC